ACCAATCCTCCAACGAGAGCTGAAGTCTTGAATGCAATCAAGCTTCTGAAAGCTGGAAAAGCAGCCGGACCAGATGGAATACCCCCTGAAGCACTGAAAGCGGACCCAGAGACGACAGCAGACATGCTGACTCCATTATTGCAAAAGGTCTGGAAGGAGGGAAAGGTGCCTACTGACTGGAGGAAAGGTTACCTCGTGAAACTACCAAAGAAGGGCGACTTAGGACTCTGCAAGAACTGGCGAGGAATCATGCTCCTATCGACGCCAAGTAAAATCCTGAGTCGCATCATCCTGGAGAGATTAAAGGACGCACTGGAGACAGAACTCCGACCAGAACAAGCTGGATTCAGGAAAGGCAAATCATGTACTGACCAAATTGCAACTCTACGCATCATCATCACAGAACAAAGCATGGAATGGCAATCAAACCTCTACCTCAACTTTATAGACTTTGAGAAGGCCTTCGACAGCGTTGACCGTGAAGTAATTTGGAAATTACTCGAGTACTATGGCGTACCCCAAATATTCATCAACAGCTGTACGACAACGGCACATGTCAAGTGATCCACAACGGAAAACTCAGCGAGGCGTTTGGAGTAAACACAGGAGTCAGACAAGGGTGCTTACTATCACCAATGATATTCCTAATTGTGGTGGACTGGATTATGCGTCAGACAGTGGGAAACGAGAAGACAGGAATATCCTGGACCGACGTGAAGAACCTAGAAGACCTGGATTTCGCGCGTGGATGATTTATGTTTGATGTCACACACAATCGAAGACTTACAAGCGAAAACCGACAAACTGGTCGAAGAAGCAGCAAAGACAGGACTCCAGGTGAACATAGACAAGACGGAGGTTATGAAAATAACCAACCAACAACAGCAACAACATCCAACGTCAATCACCATCAACGGGAGGGATTTGAAAGAGGTTACTTCATTCACTTATCTAGGGAGCATTGTCTCAACTACAGGAGGAGCGGACGAGGATGTCAAATCGAGAATCGGGAAGGCGAGAAACACATTCATCAACCTGAAATCAATCTGGAAATCTTCGTCACTCAGCATCAACAACAAAATTCGGATTTTCAATACAAACGTAAAGTCAGTTCTTCTATACGGATCAGAAACTTGGCGGGTCACAAAGAATATTTCCAAAAGGCTGCAGACCTTTATTAACAACTGTCTTCGCTCTATACTGAAGATCAGATGGCCGGAAAGAATCACCAACAAGGAATTATGGGAACAAACAAAGCAAGAACCAATCGCCCAACAAATATGCAGGAGAAAGTGGAGATGGATCGGACACTCGCTGAGGAGACCGCTGGGTGACATCGCGCGTCAAGCCCTCGAGTGGAACCCGAAAGGGAAGCGGCGTGTGGGACGTCCAAGGGTGACATGGAGGAGATCGTGTGAAGAGGAGTTGAAAGAATATGGACTAACATGGATGCAGGCGAAAAGTACAGCAGAAGACAGAAGCAAATGGAGACGTGCAGTTGAAGCCCTATGTTCCACTAGGAACCCAAGGGAGCAATAATAATAATAAATACGACTGTACAGCCTGTGAAGATGACTTCGTCGATAAAGAAAATTTTCTTCGCTGAATTTCTCTTTTATTTTATTTTCTTCATGACTCAATGGGTATATTCGGTGACTTGATATCACAGTATTCGAAAGACAGTGTCACATCCCACTATGTTTACTGATTCACATGTATGTGTGCACACATACCAAAAAGCATGTGTCCACTAAAAGAAAACGTTTTAGATTGCATACTAGTCAGTAACTAGTGTAATGTGTCTAGTCCTGTCTTCGGTGCAAACTGAATTCTATCAGTCAAGCTTGCAATGTGGCACCATGCTAGGTGGCTCTCCATTACGGTGCACTGTGAATTGTTGGTATTAGATGGTTGGAAGTTCAAGGCTTCCCGCCGATTGCCTCCACCATCTAATTCTGCCAACCAGTGTCAAATATTACAACGGAAAGCAAATCGTGAAACTAATCAGAACTGAAGCGCACACTATCCCTGTTCAAAATTGTGCCAAAGTGTATTATCGAAATCCAAAAAGAAATGTTAGAAAGCGCCCTCACAGTCTGCCGACAATACCGCCAATCAACTGTCGTCAACCTCGCTATCATCACATAATCTCAAGTGGACTTCATATTGAAGTATAAGCGTTGGAGTTTATTGTCTAGGCAGAGACAAATGAAAGCTTAGCATCCCGAATAAAACACACAGATCAGAGAGTAAGTGTACAACCAGGCGGATCACACCCAAAAACAAAACAACATCAGTACTCTCTCTCTCTCTATCACTGTAGGGCTAACATCAACCTCTTAATATTCTTTTTAGAAGTAAGAGCAGAAGGCAATATATTAGCGCCATTCTCTATTTTTCACTACTATAGATGGCAGAAGAAGCATCAAAGATAGGACTTCACGTGAACATAGATAAAACAGAGATAATGAAGATTCCTAGCCAACATCAACAACACCAACAGACCACAATAAGCATAAATGGGAAGAACCTGAAAGAAACAACCTCCTTCACCTACCTGGGAAGCATCGTCTCAACTACAGGCGGAACTGACGAGGACATCAAAGCCAGAATCGGAAAAGCAAGACAAGCTTTCATTACTCTCAAATCTGTGTGGAGGTCAACAGCACTCAGAATCAAAAATAAGATCCGGATTTTCAACTCCAATGTGGAGTCAGTGCTACTATACGGATCAGAGACTTGGCGAGTCATAAAGAGCATCTCAAACAAACTTCAAACCTTCATTAACAACTGTCTCCGCTCAATACTCAAGATCAGATGGCCAGAAAAGATCAGCAACAGGGATCTCTGGGAGCGAACAAATCAGGAACCGATTGTGAAACAAATAGGCAGAAAGAAATGGAGATGGATTGGCCATACGCTGAGGAAACCATCAAGTGACATCACTAGACAAGCCCTCGAGTGGAACCCGAAAGGGAGGCGGCGAGTTGGTCGTCCAAGGGTGACTTGGAGGAGGTCATGCGAGGAGGAGATGAAAGCATGTGGACAGACCTGGAGCAGGGTGAAAAAGTTGTCAGAAAACCGAAGTCAATGGAGGTGCGCAGCTGAAGCCCTATGTTCCTCTAGGAACTAAAGGATACAATAATAATAATAAATAAATAATAATAGATGTATAGTTTGACATGTGAGCGCGCGCTCGCAGTGGTGTTATGTGTACGATTCAGTGTACACAGTAAAATTATTATTATCACTACTATTATTATGATTATTGCCGTAAATAATCTCATGCTGTGCCTATTCCTTTGATTCAATGGTGCTTACAATGTAAAGAAAGTATACTATTGATTATGTGTCGTCTACACACACACACACAAATGTTTTGCTTTGCAAGGAATATTAAGAAGTCGTGTATCACAACAACATCAACATCAACACAAACATACTCCACGAGCACATGACTAAGTATTTTCACAGGAATCAATCCCTCTCTCACACACACACACAATTGACATATATAATAACCAATTCACATGTTGAATTGTGCTCTATAAATAAATAAATAAATAAACAATGTGTCTCACTAGAAGCTAAAATTGTTAACAACTAACTAGAGTAAAAGGTGACGATTAGAAATCAAACGATTTGTAGAGGGAGATCTTCGATTCATTATAATGACTGACTGACTCTCAATGACTGACTGATCTCAACATAGAACGCATAGCACAGATGTGCACCAATTCCAGTTGCTACACACCCCACCACTCCATATACCACACAAATCAGGAGAAGAGAGTACACAGTGATTCAAAAGAGGCGGGGGGAGGGAGATGATAAACAGAAATATGAAGTAGATGCGACTTCTCAAATAAGAAAAATGGGACCAACACGCTCCACCAACCACTTCACTGCCCATCTTTGAGCTACGAGTCAGCGTATTCCAGTTCTGTAGCAGCATCTTACAAATCACACGAGACAATCACATGCCAAACAATCGAAGATGGCTGTTCCTCAAGGTATTCCTTCAGAAGACTCTCAACTTTGTCGGTGTCTTCACCTAGAACAACTATATCATCCTCATATTCGAAGTAAAAAAAAAACACTACTTATTCTCTCGTAACAAGTCCATCCCTGGGTAGCTGAAGTCAGCTAGGGTTAAGTCCATTAGCACATACATCTACGATGAAATTAAACAGAAAAAATGGGGACAATCGGTATCCCTGACGGACACCACATTGGTTGTCACAAGTACAATGGTTAAATATTCATCATAGAGCTAACATTTCAGTTAAAGAGTCATCTCATTGAAAACCAGTAAGGAGCACTGAAGTAACAATGTCACCAACCAGTTCGATGATGACTACTGCTACTATTACGGCGGCGACTGGACGGATTTCCTGAAGCTCTCTGTACAGAGAAGTGGGGTGACCAGCTGGGTGAACAAAATCACAAGGGGAATGGGATGTTCAGGCATGTAGAGGCATTGTTTGAAGGCAGTGCTATATCACCCCACCACCACCACCACCTCCACCACCTCCACGGGTCACTGAGAATTCCAGCCCAAGGGGTTCAATGGTCAACGGGCTTCATCTCATAGCCTGAAAGCCCTGAGTTCAATCCCACCCTGGAAGGGTGGGCGATGGTGAAGAGTTTCAGAATAAGACAAAGCACCCGTCCACTGCTCTCTATCTCTCTTTAACTGATGTTCGTTGGTTGAAAAAGTCCAACTATTGTAGATAAGAAATGACGACACCAATAATAGTCAGTTGCAGGAATTGGTGAATACAGCTCAGAAAAAAGGATGTGTGTCAACCATACTAAACTCGAAAAGCTTCCAGGATGATAAGATTGAGGAAAAAATACTCAGATGGTAAATAGACTAACTAACTACCCCTTCAGTGGTTGAGACTGACACTCTGTCAATAGTAATTAGTTATAATTAGAAATATGACTAAATGTGAGTGAGTATACAAGAAATAATTGTATCAAGACAAGTAACTTACAGCAAATACTGAAGTTAGAAAGCCCAGTATCAATCCAGCTAAAACATCCGTCGCATGATGATAGTGATCAGTTACACGAGTAGCGCACACATAGATCAAACTAGCGATTAGTGCATACTGAATGAATGGTCGAAACAAAGGCAATGGAGGTAACTGCAGGCGAGCTTGGAGATATATCTGTCAGAAGGAGAAGAAAACACACAGATAGAAGACAGTTTAGTCGTGGTGGCGGTGGCGGTGCTGCAAAAAACTACAAGTTTCTCAATATCACGTTTAAGAGAGAAATGGACATATATTTGATGAGTGGAAGTCGTTCAGAACTGTCACACACACACACACATCTATAAAGCGTTAAAGTAATGCCAACTGCACTCAGTGACAGTGACTCATTCATTCAACAATAACGTTCTGCGATGTTCTTACTCAATACTCTGCTTCCTTTGATGCTGGAAACTTCTGTATAGTTTAACACAATACATATTTTCATGTGTTACACTTCACAGCTACCGCAGATAGCAACCAAACAGGCTGATTCCTCATGAAATATCACCATGGATGCAAAAGCCTCGTGTGCCACTTGCCAACTTACACCATCTCTCTCGCTTAGCAGACGTGATATCCGGTTGGCTATCGATCAAACGAAGTGTGTGTGTAACCTTTCTCCATCCTCCTTTATGGCTAGCTGGCTGGCTGTGAGGCATGGCCATTGGAAGTGGAAGGCATGAAAAGGCTGCATGTCTTTTACCACAGATGTCTCCCGTGTCCGATGGTATAACATGTACTGAATAATAATTGGGGTAAGGAGGCAAAGTTAATCACTGATGAGGTTGTGAAGCAGTGACTTCGATTTCGACGGCTAGGACGTGTGTCACACACACCCCACACTTTCACATGAGATTGAGATCAAATTATTCTCGAGTTGAACTTTCATGTTCAGCTCATTCACTTTTCACGTTGCATCACAAAATTTAGGTCCAAGTGTTAAAAGTTGCATTTGAATCGGTGATGGTGAGACATCAGAATAATTGAACACGTATTTTTCTGGCCAAGTAAGAGAAATCGTTTCTTTGGTAACAACACACTTTAGACTTTGGTTTAGTTTCATTATAACTTCCCAAAAATGAGAATTATCTTAGCTGCAACCATCTTTTTAATAATTGCTATCATCCAATGTGTGTATTCCATGACTGGACCTTATCACGTCGTTTCTATTCGATCTTCCTGATTATTACACTCTGAGATTCCACCAATTTGACCTTTGACTGGAAATAATTCTGGAAATTTCCCACACATTTAATACAAAATACGCAAATCTACAGCCTAGTTGGTGATTTCGTTGAGAAGCATATTTACCTCGCTGTAACCCCATTTTTAATCATTCATATGATCCGATGTGTGTATTCCGTAATCGCGTATTTCTAAAATTCTTCCGACCTATCCTCAAAAATGAGGAAAAAACATCACTGTGATTAGCAGGCGTGCATTCATCGAATGTACAGAAATTAATCGTATCACTCACTGTCCTTCAAGTTGTCAGTACTAGCTGCAGGCCTCTGCCTAACAAAGCCGACTACTACCTCCAATCTCTAATATCCCCAAAATGTGTATCGAAATGCTGGTCTTTTAACTATCTATACAAGAGACTTGGCTCCACCAGAAAAACATGACGACAATCTAATTTCATTAAATAGACATAAATTCCCCATCACAACAGACACAGTTCAAAGAAAAAGCATAACGGAAGCGTGGCTACTTTCATTAATTACAAAGTGGTTTACATTTAGTCATGTGTTTCAATTCCTCCAGTCACAATACAGACTGTATCACTGTTAGGTGTCGTCCACAGCATTTAAGTAAATATTCCTACATATATACACACAACAAATGCTTATGTGACTCCAGACGGTAGCTCCTCTGACGAATTCACTGAATTCGCTCCTCCTAATTTTAGAAATTCTCTGCCAATAGCCTGTGGGGACCATAATTCTTGCGATCACAGCATTCTCATATCAATTGGTCACAAGAACTTTGTCAAATTCAATACTTGTCTGCACAAAACACACTAGACTTGATTTTCGTTGAAAAATCGTGACATGTATGAGGTGTAAAGTAGAGCTCCACTGCTGAATTCTGACTACTGCATTATTCGTATTCTACGGAGAGTATATGGAAAGTTACACAGGAGGGCTATATTATGACCCCGAAAAGAAAGCATTTTGGAAAGGCAAATCATATGCGAATCAAATCGCAACTCTACAAATCATCATCGAACACAGCATACAATGGCAATCGAATCTTCCTCTACCTAGACTTCTGAAAGTCCTTCGACAGTGTTGACCGAAAATTTATTTGCGAACTAATTCAACACTATGGAGTGTCCAGTGCCCCAAATCGTTATTAACCTCGTTCAACAGCTAGCTCTATGTGGTAGTGCCACATATCATAGTTATATATAGTCCACAAAGGAAAACTCAGAGGAATCTTTGAAGTGAAGACACGGGTAGGACAAGGCTGACTAACAACACCAACAATGATATCCATAATTGTCGTCGACTGGAGTATGCCGAACACCGTGAGTGGAGGAGAGTTAGAGGACGGGAATACGCTTCACTGACTGATAAGAAGACTTTAGAGGATCTGGAAACATCACGGATAATTTATATCTAGTGTCACTCATATAAATCCGAAGATTTACGGACGCGCAAACCAACGAACTGGCTGAAGAGGTTGACAGTAAAGACAGGACTCCATCCACGTGAACATACAGAAGACGGAGGTGATGAAAATGCCCAGCTAACAACAACAACAACAACCAATCACTATCAGCCGGTGAAATCGGAAAGCGATCATTTCCTTCACTTATCTGAGAGGCAGTAACTTTTCAACTACAGACGGTATACGGCACAGATGAGGGAGGATGTCGAAACCAACCAGACCAGAATCTGAAAGACAAGACAGACACCTTCACCAGTTTATAAACCTTCTGCACTCCGCCTCAGCATAAACAACAACAATCACATTATCAACACACCCATGTTAAATCAGTTAGTGCTTCTATGTGGGTCAGAAACTTGCACTGCGTGACAGTCACGAAAAGCATCTCTAATAGACTACACGACAGGCTTTTATTAACAGCTGCTGGCTTCTTCGACGGCTGGCTCCATGCTGAAGATCAGCTTAGCAACAAGAAACTCTGGAAACGAACCAATCGACAACCTGCTGTTCAAAAAATATCCCAAAGCAAAATGGAAACGGATTCAACACACACACACACGCACGCATACACTGAGACACGGTTAAGTGACATCGCGTGCAATGCAGGCCATCCATCACTGGAGTGAAATTCAAATAGAGAACGAGGAGTTGGACGTGTCCGGGGGTGACACGGAAGCGATCATGTGAGCAGAAGATCAGAACCGATGGACAGTCGTTCAGCCAACAAGAAGAGTAGTACTGAGAACAGGACAAAATGCAAATGCTGTGTTGAAGACTCACACGTTCCCCTGGGAACCTATCAGTCAACATCAAAAGCACAATAAATTAACATTAATAGGCAAGCACAAAGGCTTATTAATTTAAAATATAACTTCAAAAAATTATGGCAACACATACCACAGAGAAAAATACACCTGCAGCGGCTGTTGATGCATGACCAGATAAAAATGATAAGCTAAACAAAATTTTAAAAAATTTTATTATCATTATTATTATCTAAACACAAACAAACTTGGTACAGCATGGCACCAAAAATAATGATAAAACATAGATAAAAAGTAAAAATATGGGTGGAGAACATCATCTGGAAAGAAAACAGTCATACTTAACAAGTTCAAACAGAATTCGTCAACTATTGTCGGGAAGGGAAGAAAGAAGGAAATTGGAACACGTTCGCCATTGATTACGACTCTTGACCATATTCGACTACGCCTCGAGCCATCGATTCGAGCTATCTCTCGGACTCCAACCAGGGAGTCGTGAAGCACCAACCGATGCTAACCTAACGCAAATATTCAATTATGGATAAGATTTCATTTTGATAAATCACACAGTGTTGTACAGTAATATTGGCTGATGACGGTTTTAGCGCGAACTACCGCCACTCATAATCATATCAAGTTTGGTGAATAAGAAGGATACGTCAAATGCTATTATGAATTTATTGTCAACATTTAAATCTTTTATCCTTTCAATACATTGAAACGTATCTTTTACGCTGTGTTTCACCAATTCAGTATGTGGTGGCTATAAGAGTTCGACTAAACATTTAACTACGGGATGGTATGGTGAATTTGACATATCTAATACAAATTATGAGAAAAATATGATTAGTTATAGAGATATTTATCTATGAAAATAAAACTACTTACAAAACATCATGAATTAAATCTTCTCTGGTGCCCTGACATGTATACACCGTTTGTAGTCCTGTACAATTAAGCGGAACATTCGGTTGACACACATCCAAAAATGCGGTCTCAATCGACCCAGATTATACTTTGTAAGTGTTGTCAAAAAGACACAAACTCCATGTGACATAAGAGAAGCAATACAAAAGTCGTAAATAAATGGCAGCGACTAAAGATAGGATAATCCAATGTTAGTATATTGATAACGACAAAAAAATTAAGAGAAAGGAATATTATTTCATCAATTGATAAAACTTACACTTCTGATTGAATAACTCCTTTCAGTTTTCTTTCTAAATATTGCTGTACCTATTTCCACTGTGACAATCTTTATAAATGGAGTGAAAATGAAAGATTTTACATCAACTAACTAACTTACTATGACAATCGGCGTTAGATAACCATATAGGCATACTGCAAGAGAGGATACAGTATTGCCTTTATACGGATATTTAATGCTCCAGTCATCGCAAAAGAAACTCCATTTACGACTACCGAAAAACTTAATCAGAAAATACACTGCGTGAACTGATATATAAAAATACACTGATTAAAGTATATCTAACAACCTACGCAGAATAATAGTCAGTAAATCAGACGCAGCGCGAAGAAATAAGGGAACATTTAGCTTTGGTCTGCTACACTGTGAAGCACAAGCCATTGACAAAATATTGCGAGTTTCAGTCCACCAATCTCTTTTATCTAAAAAGACAGAATTATGTACATGTTGATATAACAGTGATTTCATCTTTTTACAACATAAGGTATTATTAAATAATACCTTATGGACACTGTTCACTTCATCAGTGAAAGCAACAAAACAGCTTTTCAAAATATAACTAGTTTTAGTGCAATATTTTAAAAGGAAAAAAGCTTAGTACTCTATACACTCTCATAAATTTGTAGTACAAAGATTACAAAACAGTAACAAAATATTAAGCTTGCTTCTGATCTGCCGTACAACCTTGAAAGAAAAGATTATTCTAGAAAGTATATTAGTCTAAGCTGTTACTCCTCACAAGACTTTAGAAGAACATCACTAAGAAACGGTGACTCTTGTGAAGCATATACAGACGCAAAACTAGTGGATTAAATGAGACCCTTTCAGGAGGAGCCCTATACATATGTGTTAGTATTTCAAAGTGATGATCACAGAAACAGGGGGAAACTCTACCAAGCACTAATATAACCAGAAAATCTTAAACTCAAGAACGGTAAAGTTAAAATATAGTGGATACGCCTGTATATGAACTTCGGCCACCAATTAAAGTGACCGGTGGTATATCTAAGTCAAAGTAAGCATCTGACAGACGAGTTCCAGGAAGGTCAAGTTTCCGTAATTACTGTGAAGCCTCGAGACAGGTTGTTCTGTCACAACGGATGTCCTTCCATAATTCTCATTTTCGCGACTCTCCTGAACAAACTAGTCATCCTATCAAGCATACCCTCAAGACGAATATCTCAGTAGCGTAAGTTCCTCTACTAATCACACAGTAATCGTACACCTGAATTTCCCGGAGCTCACTAAGCAAATGCATAATAGGCTGCATAATTTGGTTTGGTTTAACAACTTGTTAGTTTAATTCATTATCAAAGATTCTTGACATAAGAAGCAGCCCCATAGACACCCGCTTACAACTAAAGAGGGAGGAAAATTAGTGGGTTTGTTAGCGAAACGTATTTATAAACGTACAATGCCTGGTTTACATAGAAAAACTATGACTTCAGCCCAACATAACTGCACTACGTTAGGGTCGCATGCTTAGTCATACAAATAAGACTAACTTGAAAAACTAGAAAATCACATCAGGAGCAAACTATGAGTGAAGAACCTGCAGCATTTAATATTAACGTCCGTTAATAACATGATTATTGGCCACCAGGTTATTCTGAAGGCTCCTGGTGTTGATCTCCTATTCTACAAACTCGTTCGCCTCAACTAAATGATGGGAAACCCTGTTATAAACACCACAAAAATTATCTGGTACCCCTAAATGGAAAAAGTCAAAGCACTTACCGGGGTCTAAGCACCTCAAGGTCGAATGTCGTGCACAGCGCCAAACCTTCAGAAACTATTGGACTTGTAGAATATTAGTTAATTCTAAGATCGCTGTTTTTTCAGAAGAATGTTTGCTATCTACTCTCTTCTTAACTGAACATGCCTGGAAAGGAGAATGAATCCAAATGTACGCCAGAGTAATGGACAAAGCAATACGCGTTCCTGATGCGTCTCTGTCGGTGAGTGAGTGCCCTTCAGCACAGAAGAGTACCCGCCATAGTCGAGACACCCATGCTGCTCCTACGATACTAGATAAGACCTCTAGTGAAAGTAATGGAAAGACTGGTACGAAGAAGAGGTGAACCAGAGGCCGAAAACCCCCAGGGACTTGTAGATCAAGCCTCGTCCACACCGATGGATATGAGGTAGATAGAATCGACTATGGTTAATGAGCAGGATGCTAATGAACGGCGTGATGCAGTCCCTGGCTAAAGCTAAATGAGAAAAACATATTGGCCTTGCTGTCTACGAAGGAAAGAAAGACATTTACGCCACGGAGCAAGAAAGCTATGGCAGGCAAACCTGATCTGTCTGATAGGTCGCTTATTCCCCACAAACTGGAAGAATCATTGGCTTCCGATCCCAAGGTCATCTCCGAGCATGACCTTAAATTGGTCAAGCTTTTCAATAAGATACTGCCTAAAACAGTAACAGACATAATTATACGCAGCTTATATAGAATCAGCCAAATGCCTGACTCGTCAGTAAATCAGCCTGTACGCGTTCTCAACGTCGTACTAAACTCAAAATAAGAGGGGGATGCCATTCTGAGCAACTCTCAAACTCTTAAAAGATCAGGCATATAAGTCCGTACCGACTTATGCTTAGCAGAACGCGTCAAAAGACAGTCTGTGGCCGTAGAATTAAGCAAACGACGCCTAAACGGAGAAAAATCTTTAAATTAAGAGTTCTCGAGTTGTCAAAGTTCGGAGTTTGATGATCCCGAAACCTCTGTGGGTAGTTCGAAGAAGCACTAAACTGAATTTACAGTTGGCTACACAAACGCTATCAGCCTGTTAAACGAGCAGACTGACATAGTAATATCATAGGCTTCGGAAACCTGGATATAATTATCATCCTAGAGATATGGCTCACACCCGATACGATCTGCCAAACTTTGAAGTACGTAGTCTCGACCAACTAAGCCATGTAGGAGGCGGCGTAGTCATCTACCTCAAGAAATGCTCAACCGTGCGTAGCCTAGAAACACTAGCTCACGCAGTTGGATCGTTAGAACTTCTAGGCAGCAGACTTAAATGCGTAAGCCAAGATATTAACCTCATTGCTGCACACCGGGGTTCTGACTACAGTGCAGATGACTTCCTAACATCACAATGTCGAAGTCTGCTAGTCACTGACAGTTGACTGAACAAGCATTACAACTCCATCTTCAGACAACTCATTTGGTTATAAACTGCTGGGGTCTAGCATTTTGCTAGCTCCCTAGTCCAACCTGTCATGAAGCTCACGCGCTATTACCCACAGCACTCCTCTTCGACTCTGGACCTTACGCTCTCCCACGATGAGGATGTAGAACTTACACACCTTCCACCTCTAGGAGGAAGTGGTCATTCTGTGCTCGCTTTCAAGCTCACAACAGCAACATCATGGGCCGAAATCTCAGATTGATCAAACGTTTGGGAAGCCGATACAAATGTGGTCGTCTCAGCAGCCATCCAGTGAACTGACATATAAACCCAGAGCCGCAAGTAGAATCCGCATGGAACTAATTTAAACAATTTTACGCCCAGGTAAATGGATCTCTCGTCCCTTGATCTGTCCCAGATGGTTGCAAACATTGCCCTGTGGAAAAACCAAGAGATACATAAATTACTCACACCCAAACATAAACAAATGAAGTAAAATATTGTGTGGGTAACTCGATTTGATTATGAGCAACAGTTTGTGCTCAAAACGTTATCATTTAATATTACTCTATAACATTGTGTGATTTATCAAAATAAAATCTTATCTATAATGGAGTTATACTCTACCCAAGTGTCAAAGTTTTTATAGTTATATCAATGCCGGAACCTGTTTAACACATTTGAGATTCCTGAGATCAGAAACTTATACAACACCGCTAGGAACAAAACTATTGCAGAAATTCGCCAATCGAGGATGAAGTTTCAATCACGTCTGGCTCAAAATGCGATGGTACAACCTAAGAGAATGTTCTCGTACATGAACTTCAGGAATAAGACATCCGATGGTGTACCAAACCTGACTACAGACAACGACACAATCAAAGAGGATCAAGGAAAGGCAGAAATGTGGCAGAATACTTCTCCAAAGCTTTTACACAAAAGTTACCACTTCCCATAGCATCATGTTTGACCGCATCAGAGGAACAAAGAACACACTCCGTTGACATCGACCAAGACGTGTTCAACAGCGTAAAAGAACTAGATTCAGGGAAGTGAATTGGTCTTGGTAATAGTCATCCGAAGCTTCTCAAGCAGTTATAACGGAAAAAGTAACTCACTTCCTTTTCTACCACCATATATCTGCAGTTAAATATGTCTGAAGCCAGAGCATATTTGATATTCAGTTATATATTAAATTAACACTTTGGTGAAAATAACACCATATACTACTACACTCGAAAGCACACTTGAAGTATCTAGTGTAAAAACGAGGCTAGCGGCAGCAAATCGCCAACTTAGTGCATTCATCCATAAGACCAGCTTTTGGGTGAACCAGAGTCACTTGATCGAAAAATCACGGCAGAATTGAAACAATTTAGGCAACTTTTGAGATACTCCTTAGTGGTCCGAGTACCTGCTGGTGAAGTTTCCGTCACCATCATTTCAGTGCTTTAAGCTCCGATTCACCACCGACTAGCAATCTTTCTGGGTTGACAGCCATTTCTTTTAGTACTGTACGCACTGCGTTCACTTAAACCTGCCACCCTCACCGACCACAGTCCGTAGAATTCTTTGTTCACCCATGCCTGATAACTTCTCTGCATGTATTTGTTCGTCGTGAACTTGAGCGTCGCCCGTTGAAACCCTCATGTGATGGGCCATATAATATCATTTAACGCATGGATAAATTCTCAGTTTTAAACAAAAAAGGCTGTGAAGACCCAGCTGATATCAGTCAATGTACTTGAAAATTGAACGATCAATTCATGCTTGTTTTCTCAAACCCAACTCCTCCAATTTTTTTACGCGGAGTCATCAATCCAGCAGTCATCGTCTCATCGCTTGCTGTTCGATGGAAGACAGAAAACTATCAGATGTAATATCGTGATTCATTGTTATAACATTTATTCCTAGACATTGTGTATAATAACCATTTTGTTGGTTACATATTGGAGCACGAATAAAGGATTTTCGAGGGTGGCTCTAGCTGATCAGTAGATATGGTGGTGGTCACTAAGGTGAATCGCCCCATTCTGCAGGAACAGCAATATTCAGTTTGACGGCTCGAGATTTTTCCCATTTTTCTGAGGGCTTAGATCTTTATCTTGAAAAAGATAATATTGAACGCCTAGACAGATCATGCTGCTGCCTTTAAATATATACCATTCGCTCAGCCTAGTGTTGAGATGCGACCACGTGGGCTCTGGAGAGATTTATGGTGCATCTTATAAATTAACTTGCTATCCATTGTCGGAACTTCAAATAAAACTTCACAGTGTCTTAACTCATTCATTTTCTAATAAAATCTTTAATTGCTCCTCATTATATTCCATGTTCCTAGAAACCCAAACTTACCCTGACATATGGAAGACAACATTCATTATGCCTAAACACAAATCTGGCTCAAAAACTGAAGTCAGTAACTACCGGCCGATCAATATCACACCTATAGCATCTAGAATCATGGAGAGACTAGTCAAAGATAACTTAATCAAACATATGCTTAGCTGCAATATTATGAGTCCGAACCAACATGGATTCCCCAAATGCAGATCTTGTTTAACATGCCACCTAGACTTCTTCAATTTTGTAACCGGCGGTAATGACAGACGGCAGCTAGTGCTTGTCATCTACTTTGACATTTCTAAGGCATTTGACCGTGTTGACCATCTACTGCTAACAAATAAGCTGAACTCCTTAGGAATACGTGACCCATTATTGGGATGGCTTAAATCATTCCTTAACAATAGGTCCCAAATACTTAAACTCGGGTCTGTAACCTCCAAACCTAGCCCTATCACTTCTGGTGTAGTACAAGGTAGTGTCATTGGACCCCTCCTATTTACACTATGACATACGCGCTTGCTTCTCACACAGGAAACCATTCATCTTTGCAGATGACCTAAAAGTAGCTTATACATTCCAATGTGATGACTTAGGGTACTTCGAGAATGTAGTGTAGAAGGAATTAGTTAAAGTGGCTGCTTGGTCGTCCTTAAGGAATCTCCAATTTAACCTGAACAAATGTGGCTGTATCTTCTTCGGTGCACCCTCAATGGACCTGAAATTAACGCTTCAATCTGCTAACCTAACCAGAATCCGAAGTGTCACTGACCTAGGCCTGAGGTACTCTAGTGACTTGACATTCTCTGAGCAAGTAGCATCACAGACTAGAAAATCGAGGATGCTCTTAGGATGCATACTCAGGAACTTTCACGACAATGAAGCCAAGCTAATTCTGTACAAAACATGTGTCAGACCCCTACTAGAATACTGTCCATCTATTATAAGCAGCACAAGCACATGTGACAAGCTAAGGGTGGAAAGTATCCAAAGATATTTTACCTGAAAACAACTCGTCTACGATTGCAAGAAAGACTACATCTCACGGTGCATGATCCCAAAACTTGACCCACTTTGCACAAGACGAATTATTATAAACCTAATATTCTTCTTTAAGGTCCTTCACAAAATATCATTCTCAGATAACAGGGACATTCTATTCGCACAGGAAGGCTCTTACGATCTGCGTAACCAAACGTGCACAGTGACAATAAAAGACACTTGGTGAAAACTTCACAGTCATGTGTTCCTTAATATGGAACAGCCTGTCCCTAGATGTCAGAACTTGCTCTTC